TTCATGTGTGTCATGGTTTGACAAAAATTCATGTGTGTCATGGTTTGCCTCTGGGGGGAAAACAAGGTTCAAACCACTACAATATGTAACTAAGTAATTCTTCCTGAGAATCCATACTGTGGATCTCCTGCATTATCCACCAGAGAAGGTTGTGTTTCTTTTAAGTTTAGCTTTCAAATTTCATCTCACATCATCTATTCAGCAGGATTTAGGTTCATAAACAGCTAAGAAAGATGAAAATTACTGTCCTTAAATAAACCCCAGCCAAGCCACATCTACATGGGATAGTCACACTGCAAGAATTTAGCCTTCCTCCTTACACAAAATACCCCTGATGGCTCCATGAAAACTCACTTCCCTGAGGTGACAACTTGAAATGATTCCAAATGGACAGACTACTCCTCAGGCACACTTGGTGCCCACACTACCTGGCACATTCCAAGCCCAAAGAGCATCCTATGAAGCTCTGGAAGAACATTTAGCTTTAAACACTTCAGACAGACAAGGAATTGGGACAGCAACCCCATTGGTGGCATTCCCACCTTGAGGCACCCCATGTGCACAGTGGATCTCAGAGCATTCCTAGCTACTGGAAAGGCAGTAAAAGCAGCAGCTAAGAGCACATTAGAGAAGGAATTCATTGCCAGAGGTGGAATGGTGATCCCACATGGTACCTACATAGGCATCTGTGGCTGCATACAGCTTCTGCTCCTCACTGAGTGGAAACTTCTCCCAGTTGCTACAGCGGACAGACTTATCCTTCAACAGCTGCTTCCCAAAAAGGTGTTTCACCAAACCATTCAGACTCCACGTCTCCTTACACCTCAGCTGGGAAAAAAAACAAACCAACAAACCAAAAACCAAAAAGAGAGGATTTGTTTAAAAGGGAAAGCAACTGGACCTGGCAGAATGTATCCCCAGAAAGAGAAAATTGTACTTACTCCCTCAATGGAAGCAAAGAGCTCTGAGTTAGTCAAAACATACTTAGTTTTTCAAAGCAGTAACTGTTCTCAGTACTGTCACACTATCAGAAACAGGAAATATCTAGACAAAGCAGTCTCTGGGTTGATAAAATAAAAGCTCTGGACTTAAACAGCATCACCTCTTTCCTCCAGGACTTTTCTATTATTTGCCTTTCTAATTAGAAAAACTCAATATCAAACATCAGGGATTTATTTAATAAAAAAACGCAAGAATAGTCAAGTCTAACATCTTTTGTAAGTCTGAAATCAAGCACAAAGCAGAAGAGCACGGTCATAGTCCACATTAACCACTATTCTGTGTGCTGGGAAGCAGCTCATCCCAAGTCTCCAGGAGTCACCCCAGCACACTGCTGTTCCCAATTGCTCCTGCAATCACTTGTCAATCAGAGCTTCTACACACTATTGTCTTCCTAGCCAGTCTGGGAAGCTTTCCTTCAGAGCCCAAGAATCCAGGCCTCAAGAGCACAGCCTGCTGTTATTCCAGCTTGGAAGACATGCACAACTATGGAGCCTTACAGCAGCAGTGCAGCATTATCAGCTCATCCTCTTAGATCTGGCATTAAAAAAAAAACAACCCTCCCAACTGTTCTTTTTAGGTTCCCCCAGCCTCCCCCTTGCATTGTGCCATTATATATAACCCCGTTCTTTGTTCTCTCAAGCTTCACTTTCAAGTTTATTTTTGGTTTGTTTTCTCTTTAGCAGAAGACTTTTAAGCTGCTGAGATCACATTGCTCATATTCATAACAAGTTACCCCAAGTCAAATGAGGGGATTAAAAAAAAAAAAGTCAGGGTGACAAAGGAAACTCCAAATTTGAGAAGTAGCAGCTCCCTTTACTGCTTGAGCAAAACAGTTGAATTTGTACAATTTCCAGTCCACTAGGAACTGGAATTTTAAGGTGGTTCATGTGGAAAGCACTGCCCCAAATGCTGATGGTACACCACAGAAAGAACTGGGAAGTGCCTGGAGAGACACAGCACAGGTCAGGAAAAGCCTTGCACATACAGAGAGAAAAGCTTTAAAGGGATTTAAGGAAAGGAAATTTTTAAAGTTTATATTTATTTTATTTATATTTATTTAATGGAAATAAGAAAGGCAGGATGATCTGGAAGGAAATGGACCTTTTGCTCTCTTGCCTAAAAAGACAGCACAGGTTTCCCTACATTAAATGATCTCTGGAACTGAACTGAAATTCAGAGTGTGCCAAATGCAGCACAACCTGTAAACAACAGGTCATCAGGTGTTCAGAAACTGCGCCCACATGAGAGCAGAGGTGACACCAACTTCAGAATCATGGAAATCAAGATATTTCTACAGCTCCAGACTGTGTGGCAAACACCTCCACATGGAGGACTCCAAGGAAGAAGACCTTGATGCTTCCCTCCAGCACCCAGCAGGTCATGGCAGGAAGGCTTCCTTCCTGTGCCCTGTTTACAAGGGCATTGCTGGGACAATGAGACCACTGCCAGGAGAACCCTGACTGGACACAACTTGGCAACTTCCATCATTAGGAACTAAAGGAAAAGCATCTGTAGTTGAATTCAAATGCCACACCTTGTAAATACTAAAGGTGAACAGGCCTGAAAGGGGACAAGTGTTCATTAAAAACTGGCTCACTGACAGACAGTACTCAGTTCTGTAGGCTGTGAGAGGTGTTTTTAAGCTGTTTCTAAAAAAGTGACAATAGATCTCTGCTTTATTCCAATGAACACGTTTGCTATGGGAATTGAACTCCTATGGAGACAAGGAAGCCTCCTTTTGTACAGCACAATAACAAGATTCCCTCCCACAACAAAAAGGTTTTAAGTTTTACTTTCTCATTAGCAACGTCAGCCAGCTCCACAAAGCTCTTCAGTTTGATTTCAAAGTCACTCATCAGCTTCCATTGATCTCCCTCAATTCCTACGCCAACCTTTTTAATTGTTTCATCTTCGAGCAGCCTTTTGAGTCCCTTGGGAAAACCTAAAATAGATTAAGCCCAAACATGAGAAACTAAATACTGGAAGATACCAGAAAGTCTAATGGAAATGCCAAAATCTGAGCACAAAGGCCACCTGCAAAGCCCTGGGCTCTCAAAGGAGAAGTCCCCAAAGTTCCTCTGTTTATGTGACTCAACTCTGGAGTGACTGAAAACATCAACTGGTTGTGATGGATCATCTGAACACAAGCAAGGAAATATTTGAAATACACAAATTCATCCTGCACCTGAAAACAAACCAAGTAATAACACTTAAACAACCTTATTCCATCTGTCTTTCTGATTGTTAAGTTACATAATGAAAAAAGGCAGCCTCTAACTGGAAGATATTTTAATTCTCAAAACTCAATGTTCATGAAACTAAATGAAATATCATTTTACTATTTCCCACATCACTCCTTCCCAATTTTGGCTATTTCCCATTTCTGGGCAACAGTTTAAATAAGGATGGGAAATCAGCAGGAGCACAGGTTCTGTGGGGACACACTCAGAGCCAAAGACAGGCTGCTCCAACATTCTGGAAAAACTGAATTCACCAGAGAGATGCTCCACCAAGCCCAAAGAAGTCAGTCTTGTCAGCAAGAAAAAAAAACACCTCACAATATTCAAGCATGTACTCAGATGTTAAGTACTGTATTTTGATTTATCCCAAACTGATGGCACAGAAACCCTGGATCAAAGGTTATTTTCAAGCTTACAGGACTGAATTAAAGCAGGCTGTTTTCTCATCTCATTTTCTTACAGGAGGGAACAGCCACAGACACTTCATCCCTGAACAATAACAGCCTTTTCCTCCTCTCTGTGTTTATTCCCATTTAAAATTCAGAGCACCTTATTTAAATCCATACTTTAAGGACCCCACAGCTGGATACTCAGAGTTAGTCTCAAGTGGAATTCTAGTACCTACAAACACAGTATTGTACAAACACATCGTACTTAGCACCTACCTTGGTTCTGATTTCAAATTTCACCTTTTTCAGCCCTGCAATATGTGTTTACGTACTTCAACAAACACTTGGCCTGGTTGATTTTATTTTTGCATTATTTTCCACAGCTCTCTCTGCCCTCTCATGGCTGCCACTGACATTGTAGAGGCACATTTGCAGATACAGCCACAGTCAGCTGTGCTGTGGACTGGGAAATTGCAGGTGCAATCCAAAGAATTAGGAAATAACAGTCAAAAAACCCCACAAAACCATTGTAGCCTGGTGCTGTAAGATGCAGACAGAATACATTTCCAAAGCACCTCAGCCATAAAAAAAAATAAAAATGTGGCAAGTCCTCCACAAAGGAGATAAAGTCCAGCCAAATAAAAGCCTGCAAAATGCAGCTGACTTACTGTACAAGGGATTTTCACCTGAGAAAATCATCATTAAAACCCTCAAGGATGGGCACTTCCCAGTGGAGGACTTGTGCCCCATTTCTACCACCTCATTCCTAAAAAAGTGACTAACAAACAAACAAACAAAAAGACTAAGTTCAAGACTAAGTAGAAGTACAATCACATTTTGAGAAGCCTATAGGGAAATAAAAAAAAAACTAAAGAAGGGAAAATTATGAACAATCTTCCCAATGAGTAAATGTGTTTTTGTCCTTTCTACACAGTCCAAGAACTCCTATTGCTCCTGAAGAAGAAAGTATTATTCTTTTGGCTAAGACTTACTGCTTTCTGTTTTGAGTGGCTAATTTGGCCAGTATCTACATCTCTGTAGATCAAACATATTGGCATCATGAGCTTAAATTGGCTGTGGTTCCTGCAAAATGGCTGACACCTCCATCAGTTCAAAGTGCATCTCCCACTGGCAAGGACAGGAATTTTTGGAAAATGATGCAGGAGGAAACACCATCATCTGCTGTAACACCGTCGACACACAAACATCTCCCCTTCCAGAATCAAAACCATTTCATCTCTTTATGCCTCTTCTTCCCTCTGCTTCCTCTCCTCACATCCTCTTTTTTTTTTCCCCTGTGCTCCTGATGGAATAGCCTCCAGCAATTAAATTTTCCACCCCATTTGCTCCAAATGACAAAGGATTGAACACCAACATTAAAATTACCGCTATTATACCTCAGCGTGAGTCCCCCAGGGAAATCAGAAACCTCTCACAGGCATAGTTTCAATCTAACATTTTAAACCAAAGGTTATAAAATTGCAGTCTCCTTCCCTCATTGCTATCTTCCCTATTTGGAAGCTTTTATTCACATCCATAATGAATTCAGACTCGGCTGAGCACAGCCCCTTCTCTCATCACAGCTGCATCACAACAGGTAGCCAGTGTTCTTTTCCAAAACTGATGTCATAAAATGCAGGTATTGGGAACAAACAGCACAAGAGCCATCATTTTTGAGGGTTTTTCTTGAAGCCAAATAATAAAAAAAAAGTAAAAACCAAAACCACAGCCTGCTCTACTTAGGTTCGTTGTTTGTCTTGGCACTAAACAGAAAGCTCATTATAGGAGCAGGGAGTTAAATTTTTAAAACTGGAATAAAATATTCTCACCCAGGCAGAAAAACAAGCCTCGAGTAAGACTCTCTTGCCCTGTTCAGAACCAAACACGCTGTTCTCAAGCACAGAGGGGGGCTAAGATTGCCTTGATATGTAAGCATCACTCTTAGAATAAATCCTTTTATTATAAGTGGGTAAGGGGAGAAAAACAACGGATATTTGTTATCCAGTGTGGTGGGATTTATCAGCCATTGCTCAAGGCTAAGTTTAAACTTAATCACAAGAAACAAGGGGCAGTTTCTTACTCTCCTAAGTAAGAGAGGAAGTACAGTACCTGCCATGGAAGAGATGTGAAACAAGTAACACTTGTCCTCAGCGACACAGATCTGGATTACAGCGATTTTGGCCATTTTCCCTTTCGTGTAGCATGGTGGCCATTCAATATCAAATCCAACAGCAGCCCCATCTGATAAACTCTGCCTAGAAAAAAAAACAGATCCCTCCCATTTATGAGTTCTTCTACCAGGATTTAAAACACCAACCTTAAGTCATCTATGAAGATGAAGAGAATCACAGCCCATTCATTTCACACCAGCAGGACACAAATCAATTTAAAACCAAGACCATAAGGAGGAGAAATTCCTGCTGGTCCACAAGGTTACAAGAAATACTTCAGAACTGAACTTACCTGATGGCAAATAGCGTATTATTTATAAATGACTTAAGGTTGTGGATTGACAGAAGGACAGGGAGAGCCCAATTACCATCACAGGCAAAACAGACACATCAAAATTAACCAATTTATTATCCATCAAATAAGAGGTGGATAATGAGAAATAAAACTCAACCTTAAAAACACCTTCCCTCCACCCCTCCCTCCTTCCCTGGTTCAACTCCCAGGTTCTCTACCTCTTCCCTCTCAGCAGCACAGGGCCTTTAGCCCCCCCCACTACCAAAACCTTGCCACACAAGCCCCAGGGACAGCCAGATGCAAAAGATGATGGAATAGTTTATATTCCCTTGAAATACTGTACACTGTTCTTTATTTATCTCATGTTCACTTGAAAGCCTGTTCTTCACTTATCTCACAGGAATGGAAACTCTGCACAGAAGTTTTTCCCCAGCAATATGAGCTGTGCTACACTAGAAGGGGGAAAATCATGTATTTGCATCACCAATTCACCATCTTTTCTTCAAACAATGTCCCCAGTTAGGAATTAACACATGCTTGATTTCTTACAGCTCATACTTCTCCATGAAGTCACTGAAGCTCATGGAATTATCCATGCTGTGGAAGGCAAAGGACCTGCATCAGAGCCTTCACTGTTTCTGCTTTAGAGGGACTGGGAGGTTAAGCCATGGCATCTCCCATAAAAGAGGCCAAATGGAAAACTATTCCCAAGAGCCAAATCCACAAAGGAAACAAAAATAGGACTTAAAAAAAAAAAAAAAGGAAAATAAAAACTGAGTAAGAGCTGTTACCTGATATCTTCTGAGAGAAGGGAACAGTCACTGGCTTCGTAGCTGTAAACAACAGAGCCACAGAACTCCAGGAATGGCAGCCCATCCTCCAAAACACTCCTCTGCACACCAGGCTTCTGTCAAACAAGATTAGGGAATTACAGGCCACACCTGTCCCCACCAGGGACATCCCTCCCACCCCATTTCCCAAAACATTTGGGTTCCTGCCCCACTTTCTCTGCTGAACTCAGAGCACTCAGACAACAAGTGAAAGTCACGGTGGTTTCACCTGACACATTTTAATATCTAAGCTACTAATTAGTTACTCCCACTTCATAGAAAAAGAACTACTGGACTGAGTCCTTGGCTTTTTCTGTCATTAATTAATTTTCTAATTGTTAAAGCTGCTTCAGGTGTTACAGGGAGGGTCCCTTCTGTTGAACTGCTCCTATCTGCAGAAAAGAATCCAAGGACACATTAACATTCTTGGGACATCAACAAATTGGTGAACAGTTATTTTTTCTGACACATCCTGCAAAACCTCCTGGAATATTGAACATGTGTAAATGCACAAAAGGCCTTCCCAGAACCAACTCCACTGCCAGGCTACAACTCGAGGTCATTCCCTTTGGAATGAGAAACCCCCAGTCCTTGCTGATGTGCAGTCCACATTCCTGGGTGAGCAAGGCATCCAAACTCCCTTACTTTTTGGGACTGACAGGAAGCAATTTCTACAGAGATAATGGCAACAGGTGATGTTTTAGCAACACACCCAATTTTAATCTGGAAAAAAAGAGATTTACAAGCTGATTTAACTAGAAACAACACAAGAAAACCTAAATTTAATTACAAGTTACAGCTGAATACATCAACAAAAACCAGAGGAATAGATCTAACTAAAAGCACATGCTCCAAAGCTGGTTTATCATGCAGCCTGCAAAGTTTCCCCAAGCCATGACCTACCTTTTTATCCCACAAAGCTTCCTCCTGGCTTTGTGTAAGCATCCACTCAGGATATTTATCCTGCAGAGCAGCAGTTACCACATCCATGTTTCCCACATTTCTGTTCCTTCTGCATTAAAAAAAAAACCCACCACCACCAACAAAACAAGAAATTGGAAGTCAGTTTGTATAGAGATGTGCTGCCACTGTAGTAAGACCTGAAGTTACAGAAAATCTTCAGTTTAAGTGTTAATTAAGGATGTGCCAGTCTAGGATTTAAACAGAAGCAGCTCACCAAGCACAGACAGCACAGTCCCATGACTCCTCCAGAGGGAGGTAGAAGACAAGTAAGGATACGCTGTCCCAAACAGCTCTGATAGCTGGAGTTTTCTCCCAGGGAAACTGAACAGGATTTGACTGGATTGGAGCTGTTCCGGCCTTCCCCTGGACTGCTCCTGGTGTGATTTACTCCACTCCTTCCCAGAGCTCCCCCCATCACTACACCTCCTGCCCCAGTGCCCCCAGAGCTTCACCTCCTGCTCCCCAGTGCTCCCAGTAACGCACCCAGTGCCCCAGTACCCCTAAAGCTCCACCTATTGCCTCCCAGTGCCTCAAAATTCCCCCCCCAGTGCTCCCAGTACTGCACCCCAGAGCCCCCCATGACTACATCTCCTGCCCCAGTGCCCCCAGAGATTCACCTTTTGTTCCCCAGTGCTCCCAGTACTGCCCCCCCCCACTGCTTCCAGGGCCCCAGTACTTTTCCCTCTAGTGGCCCCATGGCTCCACCTCCTGCCCCAGCGCCCCCAGAGCTTTACCTAGTGCCTCCCAGTGACCCAAAATTGCCCCCCAATGCTCCCAGCACTGTCTCCCAGTGCCCCGGTAGTGCTTAGCCCAGCACCCCCCATCGCTACACCTCCTGCTCCAGCGTCCTGCAGAGCTTCACCCAGTGCTCCCCAGTGCCTCAAAACCGCCCCCCAGAGCTCCCAGCACTGCGCCCCAGTGCACTCCCTCACTACACCTCTTGCTCCAGTACCCTCAGAGCTTGAGCTATTGTCCCCCAATGCCCCAAAACCGCCTCCCAGTGACCCCCATCCCTACACCTCCCGACCCAGCCCCCCCAGAACCTCACCCGCTGTGGCCCAGTGCTCCCAGTACAGCCGGTGGCGGCAGAGGGCGGTGCCCAGGGGCTCCGAGTGGGCCTGTCTTGCCGCCGCGGCCTCTCGGTGCCCGGTCCCAGCGAGTCCCCGGCCGCCCTCAGCAATCGGACTTCGCGCACGCATTGACCGTCAC